TATTCTTCTTCTCTTGTGAATTTGATGTCGTTGAAGGTGTTGTTTATTATGTTGTGGGTATTGTATGTGTGTATGTATATGCTTGATCTAAAACTTTTTTGTATCGTCTTTTTTTCATCAAAAGTTTCACTAATTTTTAATTAGTTGAATAATTTATGAGCTGTATACCACACACAGAGACAAACACACACACTGGCCCACCCTTTCACCACCTGTCATATACACCCTGATCTCAACAGTAAACACATAAATGTATGCTTGTGGAGAATGTGCAAGCAACGTATTTCAATAAAAAATTGATCACTGACGACACTGTTGTTTCCTTATAGTCAGTCAGTCAGTCAGTGTTGGTCAACTGATTGAAAAATACAAACACCACCCCCCCCACACACACATACACACACAATTTATTTGTCAGTCTATTCTACACACAAAATTAGATCAATAAAACTTTAGTCAAATGTCAGTGTTGTTTTTTTTTGCGTGTGTGTTTCAAAATAAAATTGTGGTTTACTGTGTTACACTGTATGAATTTTGCACTAATTAGACAGTTTGACATGTTCAATAAATCAAATGAAAAATGACTCAATAAGTAAATTATTTAATTCAAACTGGATTTTCCTGTTGACTGATTGGATGGACCTAATTGTTCGGCTGCAGGTTGATATGTCGACTGCTTGTTCAGATGCTTCAACGATATCTGAGGATTTTATTATTATTGTTGTTCCCTTGGGTTCCTAGTGGAACATAGGGCTTCAACTACACGTCTCCACTTGCTTCTATCTTCTGCTGTACTTTTCAACTGCATCCATGTTAGTCCATACGGTTTCAAGTCTTCTTCACACGATCTCCTCCATGTCACCCTTGCACCGATGAACCACTCGCCGCTTCCCTTTCGGGTTCCACTCGAGCGTTGACCTGATGCGCGATGTCACCCAGCGGCCTCCTCAGCTCTCCTGCATATTTGTTGGGAGATTGGTTCTTGTTTTGTTTGTTCCCATAGTTTCTTGTCGGTTGTTGTTCTTTCCGGCCATCTGATCTTCAGTAAAGAGCGAAGACAGTTGCTGTTGATAAAGGTCTGCAACAGGCTGTTGGAAATATTCTTTGTGACACACTGGCCAAGTTTCTGATCCATCCGTATAGAAGAAGTGACTGACTTGACGTTTGTATTGCAAATCCGAATTTTGTTGTTGATGCTGAGTGACAGCGGAAGATTTCCAGATTGGTTTCAGGTTGATCTGAGGATTTAATTTGAATTAATTCTCTGGATAGAGTCTCAAGTAGGACGAGATACGCGCATCCTGGATTCCACTGCTAGGCACCATTCACCAAATATTTATCCCTCTAAGGCTTAGGTGGTAGGTACAGCGGTTAGGACTCTCTCTTGATGACCATGCACATGATGCGGGGTTCGATACCCTGCCGACGCATACCTGATATCAATTGGTCGGCCTGCAAAATTTGGGCTATCGATATCATATGCTGAAAATTACATACTTGTACCAAAAATAAGGTGCGGAATCAAGCTGTAATAAAAATATTTTTTTAGAAATACTTCTTTTGTACTCACAAGGATTCGACTTTAATTCATAAATAGTCAAGACCTCCATTGTCTATATTTGGTGGCCTATGTCACGGAGAAGAAACTCAGTTCATTCTTTCTGCTATAGAAGAAGAAAGATTTGTAGTTTTGACTATGTTCACACAGAGCTTTCCTTCTGTAAACCTACGCTCGCTGAAAACGGTTACTTAAATCGAATATTTATTGATAAAAACACGAAAGATAAGCAGACTAAACTTTGTCACTGACTCAGTGCCAAAGGAAACCATTTTCATGAATTTGATGGAATTCAAAGGTGATCAGGTTTCAGTTATGCCTAAAAATTTTCTGTCTAAATCAGTCAGTAAGGCTTTCTTTGACCTACACCAGCTGTAAACTGTTCTCCATCTCTGTAAAAGATAAGCTCCCTCGTATGGTCGCCTCTATGTGCTTCTGTCAATTCATCTACTCTTGTGGAGCAAATTAGGTACATTATATTGGCCGTAGCCAGAGGACGCTTTCCACGTGAATTCGAGAACATATTACAACTTGGTTTTACAAGGGAGAAAGGAAGGGTATGCCAAGCTCTTTTCTAGAATACTTCATCGACTCCTGTCAGTCACTCTAACAACGACGACCATAATTGTGTCTTTACCCGTGTCGTTTCATAACAAGCTCTAATACTGTTGCCAGTATTAGGGCCGGGAGAGGGATAGAGCATATTTCAATGCAAGCAGAGTCAGTCGCTGTAAACAGCGCCTTCTCCACTCTCTGTCCGGATTTTTTTTCTTTATTTTAATAACCGAAGCAGATCGTATCCCTTGGCATCTCCCCGAGGCTACGAAATCAGGAACATCTTATTAGGACTCTTGCGCATCGGAGACATCCTAACATGTCTCGTGGAAACGAGATCCTACCTCCAGTCCACGATTCACACAATCTCGCTTCATCATATACCTTGGCGGACAGCGTATGCCCTTACGACTGTCCTATTAGGCTAACCAAGGTCTTATGACCCATACCAGCCGTCATTCAATCCACTTACATACTACGGCCTCCAACCTCTGTCACTTTATCTATTCTGCCTGCCTGGGACCCCGAACCCGCATACAGCCAAGGGACAGACAGAATATGGACAAGAGGTCAGATCGTATGATTCCACGAGATGACGACCATAATTTTAAGATCATATATCGAATTCATGCTAACTTACCGCGTTTATTTCGTTCTAGACTTCTAAAGACAGTGGAGGTTTTTTCTATTACTCATGAGTTTAGCATATATGGTGTGATTGAAGTCAGGGATTAAGTCGTGGAATCTTGTTGGAAATGGTTTTCAGCCAAGTATATGGACCAGAGTTCGATTTCTGGCCGACGCATTTGAGTAGTAAACCTGATGGAAAAGGAAGGTTTGGAATAAGGGTAGCGATTCCACCCCGTAGAAATTACACTATTGCTACTGAGGTTTTGAAGCTCCACCTTTAATCCCCATTTTCCACTAGGAACGCATCGGAATGAAAAACAAAAATCTTGGCAAATAAGCTCGTTTCACATATTGTCATCATTTATACACATGTAAATGTTTGGTTTTTGGAGATTCGTAATTTACACACTATACAGTGCGGTGAGGTAGCTCTCTACAGTTTCCCCTTTTTATATTTCTCTGCCTTCTGAGTGGAGCGTAGGACTTTAAACTTGAGCGCTGAAGTATTGCACTAGCGATGGTGTTGCTTTTCACGGGTTGCGATCACTAGTCTCACATCCACAGTTCCCTTTTTTTATTCCTTTACTTTCCCAGTAGAACATAGGGCTTCAAGCTAGAGGCATGAAGTTTTGGTAGCAGTGGTGTTTACTTTTACGGGATGGGTTTGCTAGCCAGTCTCATTCCCAACCTTCCCTCTTTACCAGTCTTATTACTGGCTTAGTGAGCGAGGTAAAGGAGTGCATCGGTGGCCGGAGATCGAACTCCGAACCATATGCCCAGTCGGTGAGCATCCTATCTCCGTGCCACCGACACACTACAGTTCTCTGTAGAATCCTATAATATTCAAATCACAATATATAGTCCACTAGTTACTATTAATGGTAATCAAGTAAGTAAGTATAAATACCTAATGGTATATGCTACTGATTGACTGGCTGATATCAGTAGTTGGATACCATTCACCATCAACCAGATAAAAGTGTTTTAAAACACCTAACGGCCATTTCACTCGTTTCGGAATTGACCTTATCACTGGTGTACCCGACTGGATTGAGCTCAGAAGGTGTGTTTGGTAACATTTGAATGGATTCCGAGAAGTATAATGACAATTTATAACCAAGCTATGTGTGAGAACAGAGATACTTGTTGGAAAGTTCAGACGGTGTTGTTGTTGTTGGCGAATCAACACAAACTAGAATCCCCATAGATTAGCGTATTCTATTCCAGTGAGGCTATCTTCGTACTCTGAAAGGCTTGGGGCTCGATCCCTGATAGGTTCATAGTCGCACATTTCTGTGTATTGCAAAACACAGCTGTTCAGTGCTCCATTTTCTCCATTTTTTCTCCTGTTGATACTGTTTTGTGATGAAATCCACTTTGAATTTATTTACATGTTAAGTGAGTAATATTTAAAGCTATTGTTCTTTAACCTTCAACTTCTAATACCATTAAAATATGTATATTCGGTAGATATTGACTAACCGTGGGATCCAGGATGCGCACTCCACCCTATTTCGAACTCGTCATCTGCACATACCTGCAGTTCCTATGAATTTTTAATTATTGGTTTTGTATGGATTTAGTTTGATTGGTTAGAGGATTTCATCATGAGCTGACATCAGTTAGAGAACTGGTAGAAAACTAACAGGGGGTACTGGATAGCTGTTTCGTCCCACTTACTACGTCACTCTTCATCTGTACGCACCCACAGCCAGGGTTCTAACCCAGGACCTTCTGGTGACAAGGCGAGCTAGCTCGTAGACCATTAAGCCACTGAGATCCAATCCAATGGTCAGTCCAAGAATTCTAACTTCTGCTAATTCATGGCACAGCGCGACCACTTCGCAATGTCTTCTTCAATGAGTTACTGCCTCATCTTCAACCTCCTGTACCCTACTGGTCACGGCTCATAATGAAATCCTCCATCCAATCAAACAAAATCCCTACAAAATCAATACTTGGAAATTAATCTAATGCTCACTAGCGACTGGCCATATTCATGTAGTTAACCTGGGGTTCTAGTGGGCAGCCATGACCAATAGGGTACAGAAGGTTGAAGATGAGGCAGTAACTCATCGAAGGAGACATTGCGAAGTGGTCGTCCTGTGTCATGAATTAGCAGAAGTTAGAACTCAGGGATTGGCTATTTGATCGGCTTTTTTTTGAATAAACCATTCCACCTTATATCACATTTTATGCTTTATATTTATATTTTATTCTTTGTTCTTATCTTTTTTTTTTGGTGAATTCTATTCAGTGATTCAATCGTTTATGGGTGATAGAAAAGCACGACTTAGTCTACCAGATTATGGTTCAATTATTATTCATCGTGCTTTGAGTTCAGCTAATTTACGAGATGAATTATACGCTCAATTGTGTAAACAAACAACCGGGAATACAGATATGTAAGTTTGTCTTTTAAGAAATAATACTTTTCTTTTGTTTCGTTGCATTCCATGTGAAAGCCGAAGTTGACGAGTACATCAACTTGGGAATTGTACTCGGACGTCAATCAAACTCAATCAACTTCAATACAATACCGTAGATTTTATAAATATAAGAAATGTCACTTTATCAATATTTATTCTCGGATATTCGTTTGAAAAGGTCTTAGCTCCAGGATGTTTTCATCTTTTGTACTTTAGTCAGTGAGTAACACTCACATACACAAACTGTTTTTTAATTTAAACGATGAATTTCTGGTGATATCGTAACCATGAGAGCTGACACTCAGTGGTTTTGTAAGAATCATGTGGTTAAATGTTGCGATATATAGTGAGTAATATTGAGCGAATCAAACACGCCGCCCTGGATGAAAAACTTCGACAGGAACAGGCTGGATTCAGGAAAAACAAATTATGCATCGGTCGAATCGCAACACTACGGATCATCATTGAACAGAGATTGCAATGGCAGTCAGCTCTCTAATTCACTCAACTTCATTGACTTTGAAAAGGCCTTCGATAGCGCAGCGACGATTGAGAGGTGATTTGGAAACTACTACGCTACTATGGGGTGTTGCCAACAATTATACATCTCATCAAAAAGTTGAACGACAATGCTGCGCATGTCAAGTAATCCACAACGGGAAACTCACGGAATCCTTCGAAGTGAAGACAAGGCTGGCTGGCTGCCTAATATCTCCAATGATTTTCCTGATTCCGGTAGACTGGATAATGTCACAGGCAGTAAGGGGGCAACGAGGTGACAGGCATAAAATGGACCCACACAAAAAACTTGGAGGATCTGGACTTCGCCGATGATTTATGTCTGATTTCCCACAAACTGGAAGATATGCAAATGAAAAGCAACAAGTTGGCAGAAGAAGCATCCAGGAAAGATAAGACTTCAGGTGAACAATGAGAAAACAGAGGTGATGAAGATTCCTGGCCAACAGCAACACCAACAACAACAGACAACAATCAGCATAAATGGGCTAAATCTGAAACAAGCAACTTCCTTTACCTATCAACCTGGGAAACATCGTTTCAACTACAGGCGGAAATAAGTGATGATGATATCAAAGCAGCGATGATCGGGAAAGCAAGGCAAGGTAGGCTTTCATTACTCATTGTGGTGAAGGAATTGAGTGTGTTTTTCTCCAGAAGTGTGGCAACCAAGAGCCGTTTAACCATCTTTTGTTCTTATATTGAGAGGTTGACCAGTGTGGTGAAAGCTGTCTGCAAGACTAAAATTGTAGACAACAATTTACGTCACTGTTTACGCCTAACCTTGAGGAACTCAACAACCAATCACAGCAGACTTAGCGTCGGCAGATACAATTCGCAGATATATCACCGGATTGTCTAAGAAACGGCAACAAAGAGATAACAAATAACCTTCAGCAGGAAAATAACCCATCAGAAGAGGTTGCTTCTCTGCTAACAATAACGCTAATTATAATGTACATAAAAATCTATAAATATCTGTTGATTTCCCCAATAGAGGATCTGTTACCTGGCCCTTGTCTTCTGTTGTTACACCAGTGCACATATTACACGATCTCCCCTGCATACTCTGACACATTGTCTCAAGTCTTGTGTAATGCAACCATATACTACTGACATCAACCAGGTAGTAACCAGATCTGTCTGTCTCTGTCTGTCTGGATTCAACATAGAACTTGCCACCGAAGTGCAGCAGTTCCAGATGCCACGTTCCAAAGAGCACACAAAGGTAGACAAGAAGATGAGTGAAGAGAATCAATGGAGTTTTGACAAGTATAAGAGTGAAACAGAATGAGTAATGGTAGAAAGGAATATGAAAGATTACAGAGACTGAATACATCTGCGTAAGCCATTGACAACGATTTTGATCCATGTCACCTAGTGTTTGTCTCCAGCCATTGATTGATTCTTAGAGTCCCGAGGGCGGACCCCAACCCGGAAGTCTGCACCTCCCTCCCTACCTGACTCAATTTAACTGTCAAGGATTTCATGGATTGATGAGGCCATGTTTTTGTTTGGCCACCTCTTACTCTTTTCCAACCTGCACCTATATCAGCTAGTAATGCCCGTCCGTCGGGAGGGGGAGGCGATGGTTAGGCATGCGCAGCACGTGACCTAGCCATCTTAATCTATGTAACTTTATAGCCTCGTCGATTGGTTTTCCCTCTTTGCCCAACACTCTACGCCTAACGTCAACATTGCTTACCTTATTATACCACCTAACGTGAGAAAGAGATCGTAGACATCTATGATCAAAAACAGTGAACCTTTTCATGTCTTCAACTCGTATTGGTCATGTTTCAGAGCCATAGAATAGAGAAGGACGGAGCGAACTGCTGAGCAGTACACACGTCCCTTGGTTGATAGTCGGATGTCACGCCTACGCCAGAGATGGTGTAAGTTAGCGAAAGCAGCTCGAGCTTTTTGGATCCGTGCTGAAGCAGCCAGATCGAAGTTATCCACACACCAGACGGGTTGTTTCACTATTTTTTTTTGTCGCTGAGCTCATCAGCCGTGTTGTATCCGGTTTGACTTTAGCTCAGAGGGAGTTCAATCAGTTCAAACACCACCCGATTTCTGGTTAGACTGTTAACTGTTTCAATTGTGAACTAATTATCAAACTGAAATCGACTCTACCTTATCATCAACCGTACCGTTTGATTGTAATTCTATTTCACGTATTAATCAAATAAGCAGTAAGGTTAGGTTGAATTAAAATCACCTGATGTTTTAATCCAAAACGTGTGATTGATTCTTGCAGTTGTTCCTACGCTTTGTGACAGATCTGTATAGTTGAGCGTTGTTCACTTGACCTACAATCAGGTCGCGACCGCATGTTGGTTTAACCCATTCAATATGAGTTTCTCTAATCCATTCACAATGCGAGACAGATTTATTTCATTGATATATGCAATACACAGTGATACAATATTTGACAATTATTTGATGTGTTTGAGCGCAATTTATTGCTCATAATTGTATTGATGTATTCACACGACTTCCTAACTTTAATTATACTAGTTCTGTTTTTCATCAAATTTTCCATCTAATACCTTATTGCTGTTGCATCACTCCTATTACATGTGTGTTCACTTCTCAACGGTTCACTTCGTCCTCCCCTATGGACTGACTTACTGGCTGTGTGTTAGACATGGCCATTGAATGTGGAAGATATGGAAAGTCCGGTTAGCTGTCTTTGGTCATAGGTGTCTGTGTTCTATCTCCCGTGTTAAATGATATAAAACAGGGTGAATAATATTGACGTAAGACATCGGTCGAGTGCTAGCTAGGTTGGAGGGAAAATTAACCCAAGAGGTTGGGAAGCAGCTTCATCAATTCAGATGGTTAGGAAATATGTTACTCACGCATTCCTAGTCATCGGTCTTCCTCGACAGTCGGCAATGCTAGCTGACTGACACAGTATCAGGTTGGAAGAGAGCTAGTGTTGGTGGTCAAAACAAAACATGGATTCATCAGTCAGTCAAGTCCATAACAGTTAGTTAGAACTGACCACATACGGAGATATAACCTGGCTTCATGGTAGGGGTCCTTGGGATAATAAGAACTAGTGGAGGCTGGAGACAATTGGTGACACAACTGGCTCAAAATCCTCATTGTCAACGGCTGGCGCATATGCATTCACTCTTTGTGATTTGCCAGTCATATCCAATCAAACTCTATTGTTGTTCTTCCATATTACTATTCGTTTTACCTCATTCACACTTCTGTTTATTACCTCTCTCTATTTTGAATCTCTCTTCACTCTCTCCTCTTGCTTTGTGTGGTGCATGGAGGGAGTGTGGTAACTCGAACTGCTGCACATCTATGCAAAGTTCTATGTTGAAACGAGTCAGTCGGTTAGTCAATAAGTTCAAAGATTAATATTCACCTTTTTGGGTGGTTCAGAGAAAATGCTCCTTTTGGCAAATACATTGTCTTTAGCCGCTCAACCGCATTTATGCACAGTTTTTGATGAGAGAGGGTAGTAACAAAAGTGATGCGTTGTCACAAGCACACTTGTTAATATGAGTCAATGCATAAGAGAAGTTGAATAAGTGTATTGGAGTTGCGTAATGCGGTGAGTAATCTAATGAATGAGTTGTACTCAGGATACACATTGAAACGAAGGAAAATGTGGAATTATGTAAGAGTTGTGACGAAGTGCAAAAGAAAAATCAATACAGTAGAAATCAACATGGTTGTTACCACCATGATATTAGAAATGGTTGAATAATTTTTCCTTGTTAATTCATACCTCAGGTTTCTCTTTGTATGTGCCTGCGTTCTATCTCCCGTGTGAAGTTGTATAATAAGGTAAGCGATGTTGAGGTTAGGTGTCGAGTGCTAGGTAGGTGGGAGGGGAAATCAATCGACGAGGCTGTGAAACAGCTGCATAGATTGAGATGATTAGGACATGTGTTGTGCATAAATTCATAGCCATTGCCTTCCTCGACGGACAATGTTAGCTGACATACGGTCAGGTTGGAAAAGAGCCAGTGGTGGTCAAACCAAAACATTGGGTCAGTCAATGAAATCCACAACAGTTAGTTATTTTAAGCCACGTATGGAAGTGTAGAATGTCTGACTAACTGGTTGGGGTCCTTGGGATAATGGTGAGAACCAATGAAGGCTGGAGACAACTGGTGACATGGCTGGCTCAATATCCTCATCCTCAAAGGCTGGTGCAGATGCATTCACTCCTTGTGACTTATAATATCCAATAAAACTATATTGTTCTTCAATATTGCTATTCTTTTTGCCTCATATCTCTATTTACTGTCTCTACTTTGCATTTCTTTTTACTTTCTTTTCTGGCTTTATGTGCTAAGTGAAGTGTGGCGACTTGAACTGCTGCACATCTGTGCAAAGTTCTATGTTGAAACCAGTCAGTCAGTCTGTCTGAATGGCTAGAGCTTTGGTAGTGCAAAGGAGGTAAAAGTGTATTGTCTTTGGCAAGTTATTCTACACTTTCCATTATGGGTAAATTTTTATTTTGATAGAGTCTCACAGTGTTATACAGTAATATTTACTGATGACGTTTCGAGCACAATTAATTGCTCATAATCATATCAATTTACCCATAATGGAATTACATTCTACCACAGTGCCCAAGTTTTATTCTTATATTCTACACTTTGTTAATTCTTTGCTTGGTCATTGGATGGTGTTAATAACCAATGCGTCCAGTCCTTGGTGCTAGTGCAGACGGAATTTCTGCCAGTCAGGTTTCCAATGTGGTCATTCCATACTAAGGAACTCGCCTTCACAGTACACACTGAATTGATGTTACATGGTTGGTTGTAGGCAACTGGCAGGAAGCCTTACCTGACTTAGGTCTCGTGCTTGTTTGACACTCGTCAGCCGCCACCGACGAAATACGTTTCGAACGATCAATATATCTGGTTCCACAGGTATAGGCCACCTGTTTCTGACACAGGTTTTCATAAAAACTTCAGGAAATTCATTCTACACTCCTACTAATGCGATTAGAGATTGATTTTTAGATGTCGTCATTTGTTTAGCAAAGAGGAATCATTATCTAATAATGATTATAAATAGACTATCTCATTCACTGAATATATATTTGTTTATATTTCTAGACATTCTCTGTGCATATATTCTTGTAATAAGGCTGAAATTTGCCACAAGAGACAGTTTGTTTATATCGTCTTCTCTCCTCCTCCTCCTCCTCCTAAACACCCACCCACCCCTACCGACCTTTCTGTGATTCTTACTTTCAAGAAATCTACATGTATTGCATTTTTATAAACAAAATTGACCATTCTTCAGTAAGAAAATTACATTGTGTCTAACCATAGAAGATAAAGTTTGCTTATCTGAATATGTACGTGATATGTGACATAAATAGTGCAATTTATGTTCAGACTATTATTATTATTATTGATCCCTTGGGTTCCTAGTGGAACATACGGCTTCAACTGCACGTCTCCACTTGTTTCTGTCTTCTAGATCCATGTTATTCCATACTGTTTCAACTCCTCTTCACACGATCTCCTCCATGTCACCCTTGCACCGACGAACCACTCGCCGCTTCCCTTTCGGGTTCCACTCGAGCGTTGGCCTGACGCGCGATGTCACTCAGCGGCCTCCTCAGCGAGTGTCCAATCCATCTCCACTTTCTCCTGCATATTTGTTGGGCGATTGGTTCTTGTTTTGTTTGTTCCCATAGTTTCTTGTTGGTAATTCTTTCCGGCCATCTGATCTTCAGTGTATAGAGCGAAGACAGTTGTTGATAAAGGTCTGCAACAGGCTGTTGGAAATATTCTTTGTGACCCGCCAATTTTCTGATCCGTATAGAAGAACTGACTGACTTGACGTTTGTATTGAAAATCCGAATTTTGTTGTTGATGCAGGCTGAGTGACGAAGATTTCCAGATTGGTTTCAGGTTGATGAATGTGTTTCAGATAATCAGATTAAAATGAAAAGAAAGTGAAATAATCCTCCCTCGCCCCCCCCCCCTCCCGCGAACCTCAAATCTAGATTGTAAAAGATTTTATTTCAAAAAATCTTTTTCAACTGATCACGTGTAGAGTATAGTGGTGGTAGGACTCTAGTAAGTCGACTTTTGGACATTGACTGGTTACCAGGGTTATTTACTGGAAAGTCTGGTTGATTTAACGTTAAAAACAGATGATATTGTTCTGATGTGTGAAAACATTGACAAAATTCAGAGTCGTGTGAGTATCTTGAGCAGAAATCTCGACTGAGAGGTGTTGGCATAATATTTGATCGTTTAAGGGAGTTCCGAGTATCAAGACACTCTGTTTGAACTCACGCAACCAGGTAAGAGGTTTTTGACTGTTCTTATTTCCAGTGATGACAACCAATGGTGTCTGTCAAGCATGCCCAATATTTCTGATTTCTGTTAAGTTTCATCATACACGAATTAATGGATATGATCCTTATCGGCTTCAGTGACTCAGGGATTGATTTCCTACTAGGGGATAGTCTCGTCTACTTACAGTATGCAGGTGATGAAGACGTCGACAATACACAGTCTTTTGAACACCTTGAGACGAAATCTCAGTGTATTTGGCGGCATGCCCCTGTCAATTGTTAAATGATGCCAGGGGATTGGTGTGTACCGACTTGTATTTGAAGGTAGGAGGATCGAATGGGAAGTTGTATCAACCCTAATTGATTGATTGCTGACACCTATTCCTATCACGGATATGAAAGCCTTTTGTGACTTTAGCCAACCTACATCATCTTTGATGCAGACGGGATATTCGACTATCCATATTTTCGGAAAAATTTATTTCCCGACACAGTTCGAAAGCATGAAACAAATGTTAGTATGGCAGGACTTAATGAATTTGTCAAATTTCGGTAGAAATCTTCACCTGCTGAATACTCTGTATACAGTGATATGATTAACTGACTGGTTTCAGCATAGAACATTGCACAGGTGTGCACCACTTCGAGATACCACACTCCCTTCATGCACCACACAAAGCAAGAGAAGAGAGTGAAGAGAGATTCAAAATAGAGAGAGACAATAAACAGAAGTGTGATTGAGGGAAAAGGAATAGTAATATGGAAGAACAACAATAGAGGAGTTTTATTGGATATAACTAGCGAATCACAAAGAGTGAATGCATCCACGCCAGCCGTTGACAACGAGGATTTCGAGCCAGTCATATTACCAGTTGTCTCCAGCCTTCATTGAATCTTTCTATCCTGAGGACTCCAACCAGGAAGCCAGTCTACATCTCCGCACGTGGTCAGCTCAATCAAACTGTTATGGATTTGACTAACTGATGAATTCATGTTTTAGTTTGACCACTAACACTAGCTCTTTTCCAATCCAACCCTATATCGGCTAACATTGCTCATCAAAGAAGATAATGGCTAGGCATACGTAACACATCTCCTAACCATCTCAATCGATGCAGCTGCTTCACAACCTCATCGACCAATATTCCCTCCCACTTACCTAGCAATCGACCAATGCCTCACCTCAGTAGTACTCACTCTGTTATATCACTTAACACAGGAGATAGAACGCGGACACTAATGGTCAAAGACAACTAGTGGGGTTTTCCATGTCTTCCACATTCAGTGGTCATGTCTCCGCCATGAAAGAGGACAGAGCGAACTGCTTAGCAGTACGTACATCCTTAAGTCGACAGCCAGCCGAATTCCACGTCTGCTAACTAAGCAACAGATGGCATAAGTTGGCAGGCGAACACCAAATGAGCCTACTGTGGGCGTGCTGAGATTTCGTCAGCGATCAATCCGCTGACATTGGCTGATGCAACTCCCCAAATAAGTGAAATGGTTGACACGCTGCGCTGACCACTTCATTCCTGCCTATATTTAAGCTAGGATTGAGTTGATGTAGTCCAGTGCTGTAGTAAGTACCATCTTCCATTCGGCAGACGGGGCGAATCGCGTGCCAAACACTCGAAGATTTCTGCTGAGCTCAATGTTTTCAGAAGACGCTGCGTTTTATTATTGTCTTCACCTAGAAGGACTATATCATCCACACATTCTAAGTCAAAGAGATTATATCCTAGTAACAAGTCAACTAATCCGTGAATCTCTGAAGTCAGGGTTAATATACATATATATATATATATATATATATATATATAGCATTACATTGGGAGATATATGACTGATAAGTTAATAAACTACAATGAATGAATCATGCAAAACAGCAGGTGATAATGTTCTGCAGGTCAAGTTCAAATATATGAAGGGAAAAGGTATTCATTGAATCCTGGTTGATTAACATTTATTCCTTGTTTTCTTTTCATCCATTTTTTGTTTGCATTTCTCTTCTGGTTTCCTTACCTCTTTACGTGTACTGTTATGAAGTGTGGCAACGTTGTGAACTGCTGCCCATTAATACCACGAAATTCCCAGTGGAATGTAACTCTTCAAGCTAGAGGCTTGAAGTTTCGGTAGCAGTGGTGTGTATTCTTTTACGGGATTGGGTTGCTAGCCAGTTTCATTCTCAACCTTCCCTCTTTACCATTCTTTTTACTGGCCTAACTGGGTAAAGGAGTGCGCCGGTGGCTGGGGATTGAACCACGGACCACACGGTGAGCAATCTACCGCTGTGCCACTGACGCACCCACGAAATTCTACTTTGTGAAAATTCATGTAGAATTTATAGAAACGACCTAGAGACGTCTAAGCGCTGATTGCCTCAGAAAACCACTTAAAATCAATCCACAACATCATTCATCTGGTTTGATTGATAATCATATCGCAGACTTGATTAGTGGAATGTAGTCTGCATTAACTTCAACAAGGAGTAGACGCGTGATGCCGATTACTCCCAATCAGCTTCTGTTACATGGAATAACTGGTCATTTCAAAGTTTAATGGGATTTGATTGATTACAGGATTTCATCGTGAGCTGAAATCAATTAGAGAACCATTAGAAAACCATCAGCAAGTACTGGGCAGTTGTTTCCTCCTGGTTAGGGTCTCCACATCAGTACTCACCCACTGGAGTTCAAACCCCAGGACCTTCTAGTTACAAGGCGACCTGGTAGAATTCATGGACCATTGACTGAATGATCTACGAGCTCATCTCGTAACCCGAAGGTCCTGTGTTCTAACCTCTTCGGTGAGTGCATACTGGTGAAGAGTCCTAAACTAGACTGACGAAACAGCTATCCAGTACTCCCTACTGGTTGTTTCCCAATGGTTCTCTTAACTGATGTCAGCTCGTGGTGAAATCCTGTAACCAATCAAATTGAATCCCTGCAAACCAACACTTGATCATATATATATAATTTTAGCCTACTTACTTATTTTTAACTCTTCATTTTCATGTCACATTCACTACTAATTTTTGCTCTTTCTTTTGTCTTTTTCTTTTATTATTTTAGAAAAAGTCTTACAAATGGTTGGGCTTTATTATGCGTCTGCTTGTATTACTTTCCACCGAATAGTAAATTTCGTGATCATCTCTACGCATACCTACAAAATCGATCAGAAGCTTCAGTGATCCTAAATCATAGCACACCTAATACTAGTAATCATACAACAATAACAACATCTACGACAGTGACAGCGACAACGACTATGACAAATAACAACAATGCAACGTCGTCAGGTACAGTTGAATACAACACTCAGTCTGCACTACCGATGGAGTCTAGTCTTAAAGCAGCAGCTGCTATCGCTGCGGGTTTAAATCCTTTCCACTTTACTAACAATTATATCAGTAGTAGTAATAACGACAATGTTAAACTTGTAGATAAATGTCAACAGTCAAATGATGCTTCAATGAATAATATTTACAGTAATCATGTCAATAATTATCCAGCTGGAATTACCTTAGGACCATGGGATCGTCCAACTGCTGCACATTTTGCACGTGTTGCTCCCAGATGGTTCGCGCGTTCATTAAATGTTGGTGTACGTAAGACAACAGTTAGTCCATCGATTGAAGAAATATGCCATGTTAAGGTAAGTTGTTGACGTCTATCTCTTTCTCTCCCTCCTATGAGTTATAATAATAATTATTATTATTCTTTCCTTTAATTCCTAGAGGAACATAGGGCTTCAGCCATGCGTCTCCATTGCGTTCGGTTCTCTGCTAGAGTCTTCACCTGGCTCCAAGTCTGCCCACACGCTTTCATCTCCTCTTCACATGACCTCCTCCAAGTCACCCTTAGACGACCAACTCGCCGCTTCCCTTTCGGGTTCCACTCGAGCGATGGCTTGTCTAGTGATGTCACTTGATGGTTTGTTTCCTCAGAGTATGGCCAACCCATCTCCATGTCTTCCTGCCTATTTGTTTCACAATCGGTTCCTGGTTGGTTCGCTCATTACCAGAGATCTCTGTTGCTGATCTTTGCTGGCCAGCCATCTGATCTTGAGTATTGAGCGAAGACAGCTGTTAATGAAGGTCTGTAGTTTGTTTGAGATGCTCTTTATGACGCGCCAAGTATCTGATCCGTAATAGTAGCACTGACTTCACATTGGAATTGAAAATCTGGATCTTATTTTTGATGCTGAGTGCTGTTGACCTCCACACAGACTTGAGAGTAGTGAAAGCTTGTCTTGCTTTTCCGATTCTTGCTTTGATATCCTCGTCAGTTCCGTCCACCTGTAGTTGAAACGATGCTTCCCAGGTAGGTAAAAGAGGTTGTTTCTTTCAGGTTCCTCATATTTATGCTGGCTGATTGTTGTTGTTGTTGTTGGACAGGAATCTTCATTACCTCTGTTTTCTCTATGTTCACCTGAGCTATAATTATCTAATCATTATTATTATTATTGTTATACGCTGACAAAGTGCAGAGTCTTCTGAACAACAGTTTGAGCTGAGCAGAAATCTTCGAATGTTTGGCATGCGATTCGCTCGCGTCAAATGTAAGATGATACTTGCTACAAGACCGGACAACATCGACTCACTCCTAGCTTAAAGATAATCAGGAGTGAAGTGGTTGGTGGAGCGTGTCGGCCACTTCACTTATTTGATGAGTTACATCAGCCAACGTCAGCGGGTTGATCGCTGACGAAATCTCATCATGGATACAGAAGGCTTGTTTGGCATTTGCCTGCCAACTTACGCCATATGTGGCTTAGTTAGTAGACGTGATATCTGGCTGGCTGTCAATCAAAAGACGTGTGTACTGCACAGCAGCTGGCTGGCTGTGAGTGAGACATGGCCATTGAATGTGGAAGATATGTAAAGCCCAGCTGGCTGTCTGTGATCAAATGTGTCTGTTGCGTTCTACCTCCGATTTTAGCTGGTCTAATAGTATGAGCAATATTCAGCTTAGGCGTCGAGTGCTAGGCAGGTGGAAGGGGGAAACAATCGACGAGGTTGTGAAGCAGCTGCATCGATTGAGATGGTTAGAACATGTGTTACGCATGCATCCCCAGCCATTGAACGCCTTCCTCGACAGTGGGCAATGTTAGCTGACTGACATAGGATCACTTTGGAAAGGAAAAAGATAGTGGTGGTAAAAAGAAAACATTGATTTTGTCCGTGAAATCCGTAACAGTTAGTTTAAGCCAACCAGCCACTTAGAGATGTGTAGAATGGCTAACTAACTGGTTGGGGTCCTCGGGATGATAAGAACCAGTGAAGGCTGGAAACAATCAGTGATATGGCCGGCTCAAAATCCTCGTTGTCAATAGCTGACGCATATGCATTCACTCTTTGTGATTTGCCAGTCATATCCAATAAAACTCCATTGTTGTTCTTCCATATTACTCCTATTCTTCTTCCCTCACTCACACTTCTGTTAATTATGTCTCTTTTATTGAATCTGTCTTCTCTTTCTTTGTGTGTGTTAGATGGAGGGAGTGTAGTGCACTTGAAGTGGTGCACATCTGTGCAGAGTTCTCTATGTTGAAGCATCAGTCAGTCATTATTATTATTATTATACTCTTCCATTATTTATCATAATATTATTGTTCCCTTAGGTTGTGAATAGAACATAGAGCATCAGCAGCACATCTCCGTTTCATCCTCGCATACACAGTTGGAGATGATGACACCGTATCATCATTTTATACTGTATATATGATATTTCTTGCCTCTATTGAATTTTATCAGAGAGAACCTTCATGTGTGTGTGTTTGTGGGTGGGTGTAGGTGGGTTCGAACCCCGGTGGGTGTGTACTGTTGAAGAGTCCCACACTAGAACGAAACAGCTGTCTAGTACTCTCAGCTTGTTTTCCAATGGTCCTTTAACCAATGTCAGCCCATGATGAAATCCTGTAACCAATCGAATCCCTACAAACCAATACTTGAATATCAATGAGATGCTCACTGGCAACTGGCCCTATTCAGGTAGGTAGTTACCTGGGGTTCTAATGGGAAGCCGTGACCAGTAGGGTGCAGCAGGTCGGTTGTGAGGACAAATACTCTCAGAAGACATTGGCTAGCGGTTGCGCTGTATCGTGAATTGGCAGAAGTTAGAATTCATGGGCTGGCCATTGGATCGGGTCCCAGTGGCTTAATGGTCTATGAGCTAGCCTTGTAACCAGAAGGTCCTGGGTTCGAACCTCCTGTGGTTGGTGCGTACTGATGAAGAGTCCCAAACTAGGCTGACGAAACAGCTGTCCAGTACTCCTTGGTTGGTTTTCCAATGGTTCTCTAACCAATGTCAGCTCATGATGAAATCCTGTAACCAATCAACCAAATCCCTACAAACCAATACTTGAATAGGTGATAACTATTTCACATGTTGGATGAGCTTGCTAACTGGCTAGCTAACTAGGTTAGGTAACAAATTCTGTTCATACATTTATAAGATTCATTGACCTTTCTTCTCTTTCTACAGCCCCATGACAGTCTTTAACTTGATCTTGTGTGTGTGTGTGTGTGTAGACAAAGACAGTTTCCTGACTTCATATTTAATTTATAGAAAATAATTAACAAAAACGTTATTTTTAAGAACTTCATACAACTGGTTCCCTTGATAAATTTCGATAAAGAAAGGAAGACGAAATTTGCAGTATAAAATGATATCATTCTATTTCACAGGTTCTCATCAGCTGCAGACTACCTGAAATTACAATGGTTATATAAATGATAATAACATACCTTAATGTTTGAGTAGTAGTAGAGAAGAGATAAAATTGACGCATCCAAAAAAGAATGAAAGCATTACAATTTTTAGTTGAAGTTATCATCATCAATTTATACACTTTCAGAGTTGAAAAGAGGGGGGAGGGGTAAGACAGAAAACAGAAAAATTGATTAACAGAAACAGTGTTAGCTTGTAGGTTCACATGGCAACTCCAAAAAACAAAAGCATTTACAGTTTATAAGATTGAGATTTGCTCAGTGAGTTGAGATCACTGAATTAGATGACTAATCAAAATCAAAATTCAGTTACCAAGGGAGTGAGAGGTTAATCACACTCTCTTTCTGTATGCATAAGTCTGGTTTAAATCGTTTGATTGCGATCGCTTCGGCAAATCGTAGTAAATTTGCTGTCCTTTGTCTATTTAATATTTTGAAGGACTTAGAAATCTCCACGAGATGTCCGGTATCAACAATATGTCTGGTAATTGCACTCTGAGAATATTTGCTTCCTTTCAGGCATAGGTTTCTTGGAATATGTTCAGAAAACCGGATAGAAGCCCTTCTTTCTGTCCTTCCAATGTACTTGCTCCCGCAATTGCACGTAAATTCATAAACGCATCTCCCATTCAAAGGAGATGCAGTTTCACAAAAGATTGACAGAAGACTGAAAGGAGCAATAAATAGAAGCTTCCCGGCAGCAAAACTCATAACAGTATACAACACCACTCCTTCCATGATCCACTCAAAACTGGATAAATACCCTGCTGATGTCACCTCCAACTGCGTTTATGAATTTACGTGCAATTGCGGGAGCAAGTACATTGGAAGGACAGAAAGAAGGGCTTCTATCCGGTTTTCTGAACATATTCCAAGAAACCTATGCCTGAAAGGAAGCAAATATTCTCAGAGTGCAATTACCAGACATATTGTTGATACCGGACATCTCGTGGAGATTTCTAAGTCCTTCAAAATATTAAATAGACAAAGGACAGCAAATTTACTACGATTTGCCGAAGCGATCGCAATCAAACGATTTAAACCAGACTTATGCATACAGAAAGAGAGTGTGATTAACCTCTCACTCCCTTGGTAACTGAATTTTGATTTTGATTAGTCATCTAATTCAGTGATCTCAACTCACTGAGCAAATCTCAATCTTATAAACCGTAAATGCCTTTGTTTTTTGGAGTTGCCATGTGAACCTACAAGCTAACACTGTTTCTGTTAATCAATTTTTCTGTTTTCTGTCTTACCCCTCCCCCCTCTTTTCAACTCTGAAAGTGTATAAATTGATGATGATAACTTCAACTAAAAATTGTAATGCTTTCACTCTTTTTTGGATGCGTCAATTTTATCTCTTCTCTACTACTACTCAAACATTAAGGTATGTTATTATCATTTATATGACCATTGTAATTTCAGGTAGTCTGCAGCTGATGAGAACCTGTGAAATAGAATGATATCATTTTATACTGCAAATTTCGTCTTCCTTTCTTTATCGAAAAAAACGTCATTCTCATAGAGTTAATCTCTCACCACCGCACCACTCTCCCACTGAGAGAGCTTCTACTAATTATACTTGGAATACATGTGCAGTGTAGTGGGGGTAGGTATTTGTGTACAGTTTTTTGCTTTCTCCTTTCTTCTTCTTCTTTCTGTATTCACCAACAGAGAAAGATGAAATGAGGTCAGACAAAAATGCAGAGACAGAGGTTTTCTGTTTTTTCTGGCCTATAGATGGTATCTGCGTTCTATCTTCCGTGTTAAGTGAAATCATATGGTGAGTAATATGCTGGGTAAGAAAGGGAATCCAATTGTAGGTAAGGTCGGGACACGTGTTTTACATACCCAGCGAGCGATAGGCTTCTCCGTTGACCACCAATATTAGCGCTGATATAGGATTGAGTTAGAAAAGATTTAGGGATGGTCAGTTCAAAACCTGATATCAATCAGTCCCCGAGTGAAGTTTTCAATAGTTGGTTTGCGCCAGCCACTTAAGGGGGGAGGTGTAGACTGCTTAGTTGGGGACCTCAAGATGTTGAGAACCGATGGCTGGAGACTGTTGGAGATATGGCTTGATTTCGTTCTCATTGGTGGAGATGCATTCAGTCTTTGTATGTTTCTCCTAAATCCATTATGTCCTCATGTTTTCTTTTCTCTATGGAGTGTGGTAATTCGAGATGGTTGGGACATGTACTGCATGTACTGCCAATCCATTGCCTCCATCCTTGTCGAGTAATATTAGTTGACTTAAGAGTTAGTTGGGTAGTGAGACCGAAACTTGGTAATAATCCATGTGGTTTTTCACTGTTGGTGTGAACCAGGCACATAGAGAGGTATAGACTGCCTGGTTGGACTCTTCTAGACTCTAAGAATGAATGGCTTGAGACTGTTGGTAGAGATGTATTCACTCTTTGCAGTCTCCTAGATCCTAGGTCCATGTTACTGTTCTTTCTTCTACACTACGCGGACGATTTTTGTTTAATCTCACACAAACTCGAGGACTTGCAAACTGGCAAAAGAAGTAGTGCAGCGAAGACAGGACTCCAGGTGAACATAGAAAAGATGGGGGGGGGTTGGGTGATGAAGATAACTAACCAACAGCAACAACAACCAGCATCAATCACTTTCAATGGGAAAAATTTGAAAGAGGTTACTTCCTTCACTTATCTAGGCAACACCATTTCAACTACAAGTGACAGCATGGATGAAGATATCAACGTCAGAATCGGAGATCCAGGACAGAGCTTCATCACTCTGAAATTAGGACTTTCTTGTTATGAGGCAGTCTCGTTAAACCATTCAGTCACTGGGACCCGACTCAATATCCCATGAATTCCAACTTTCACCAATTCGTGATTTTAGCGCGACCACCAGCCGATGCAATTGGATAGTATTTGTCTTCATTCCTTACCGGACAGACCCCACCTCACTAGAACTCCCTCCAGTCACTAGCGAGTATCATCGATTGATTCCAGGGTTTGGTTTGGCCATCCCTAAACGTTTTTCAAACTGATTAAAAATGCCCATTAAAATTTTCAAAAGAATGGATACTGAACAAAGAATACTCTTTTTGATAACTTCATCATCAGGCTCTACAGTTATATATACACATAATAGTGAATGAATGAATTAGTGTTATTAACAACATTAATGTTGTTTAAATAACATCGAATCAATAATAATAATATCAATGGATTACAGTTCGATAGCATCAACATAACAATACACTGAATATCAGACAGAGAAATTATGAAAGATAATAATACAAATTCATGAATTTATAGTCTCTACTGAAGGCCAGCCAGGGCAGTAGAAGTGGCTAGCTGGACTTGTTTCTTTTGCACACAGAGCACTGGTTGTTTGAGGCGAATTGCAATAGCCTCTGCATGCGGTACTTCGATGATTTTGGCAATTTATTTGGCACCCAGTAGATGATAGAGAAGGATTCTTCAGTGCTGGCTGGCTTTGTGGCCGGTTTGCACCAGATGGTCCAATATCGAACTGTTAATAGTTTTAACTACACCTTTACTTAGCCATAGTGGGAGATGTTCTCGAGCACGAAAAATCAAGTTCCTAGAGCAACGGCCAATATAACTCGCTCCACCACAATCGCAGTTGAATTGGTAGATACAATTTGAAGTGGCTAGTCTAGGTACTTCATCTTTCAGTCGAGGTAGCACCATCGGTCGTGTAGAGAATAAGACGTGTAGTTCCCCAGCATTAAAAGTTCTTTGAACTGATTTTCTTCATTTCTTCGTAATTATTTCACTTGGTATATCGCCCTTGAATTGCAGTCGTATATAAAGAGGCTTCTTGTTTACGGATAGTGAGTAGTCCTTTTCCGCTTTCTTTGTCATGTGTTTCTTGATAAATTTGTCGGGATAGCTATTTCCAATCAAGGTATCATATACAATGCTTAATTCATCTTCAATTACTTCTTCTGAGCATATAGCTCTAACTCTGTGGCCGAGTGAGGGTCTTTACTAAATTTCTTTTGTACTTGAGAGGAACATCTGTCGACGAGGTAGACGAAGACTTGGAATGCCTAATACGTGTCCTAACCATCTCAATCGATGTAGTTTCCCAACTTCATCAATTGACTTGCCCTCCTCCCTCCCACCGTATTACTCAGTATATTATCCCACTTAACAATGAGCTTCTCAATCAGACCTATTATATTCTCTCCCTCTCTCTCTATTTTCCGTTGTATTCTAGGATTTTCTGCTGAAACCATGCATATTTGGTAGTTCGTTGGATGAAATGATGCAAATACAGGCATATCGATTTCCGTATTTACGTATACCATGGATACAGATATTTCTGACAGAAGAAATTTTACACTTGAATGGTGCTCAAACTGAAGGGATTTTCCGGTAAGTTAAATTAATCACTTAATTCTCTCTTTTCTCTTCCTCTCTCTCTCTATTGATAAAATGGGGTGGGAGAAAGTAACTATTTCAAAATATAAAGAGGAGTTTATATATATCAAGCTGTAAATCAAAAATAAATCAAAAATAAAAATAAAAAATATAAATGATTTACCACAAACTAGAAGATGTACAAATGAAAAGCAACGAGTTAGCGATAGAAGAAGCATCAAAGATAGGAAGGACTTCAGGTGAACCTAGAGAAAACAGAAGTTATGAAGATTCCTGGTCAAAAGCAACAATCAGCATAAATGGGAGGAACCTGAAAGAAACAACCTCTTTTATCTACCTGGGAAGCATCGTTTCAACTACAGGTGGACGGAACTGACGAGGATATCAAAGCAAGAATCGGAAAAGCAAGACAAGCTTTCACTACTCTCAAGTCTGTGTGGAGGTCAACAGCCACTACGCAGCATCAGAAATAAGATCCGGATTTCCAACTCCAATGTGAAGTCAGTGCTACTATACGGATGGATCAGAGACTTGGCGTGGCGTCAAGAAGGGCACTTCGAACAAACTCCAAACGTTTGTCAACAGCTGTCTTCGCTCAATATTACTCAAAATCAGATGGCTGGCGAGAAAAGATCAGCAACAGAGATCTCTGACAATGAGCGAACCAACCCAGCAGGAATCAATTGTGCAACAAATATGCAGGAAGAAATGGAGGTGGATTGGCCATACTCTGAGAAAACCATCAAGTGACATCACACGCCAGGCCATCGCTCGAGTGGAACCCTAATGGGAAGCGGCGAGTTAGTTGTCATTGTGAGGGTGGGGTGACATGGAGGAGGTCATGCGAAAACGAGATGGAGGCATGTGGGTAGACGTGGAGCCACATGAAAAGGGTGTCGGAGAACGGAACTCAATGGAGATGTGTGGCTGTAGCCCTGTTTTCCCCTAAGAACTGGAGGAGATAATAATAATGATTTGCTTTTTCTATTTTGTGGATAACAGCTTGTCTACCGCTACATTGAAATTTAGTCCCTCTTCTAGTACACATATTTCTAGGGGACTTAATATATGTGTTGAGAGATTGATAACCCACCTTGTCTTATCGATGGTTGTTGACTTTAGATTGCTACTGGCTTCACCGTTCTCAGATGGAGATATCTCCTCCAATAATGCATTTAATTTTCTGATTCGAGTATCTTTTTAAATGCTGCTGATTTGTAATTTCCAGAGGACTGTATTATAAGGTTGTAATCCTTGTTGGTAGCTGTTTCCATTAATTTTTGCTTGAGCACTGCTCGATTTCATTTCTGATATGGCACAATTTTTTTTAAAACAATTCTGTGGATCTCTTCTTTTAAGCGTAATTTTTGTAGACTTCCTATTCTAGGACTGAAGTTTGTAGACACATAGTTTCATTTAGGAATGATTTCACTTTTCAGGCATTGAATGTTGAAAATACGATGATTCTCATGTCTTGCTTCAGTTTGAGAAAGTCGCGTGGGTTTACTGATTAGTCTTCGAACAGGAGGACTATAAGTCTAATTTTGAAACTAGGCGTTGAGTGCTAGGTAGGTGGGAGGGGAAATCAATTGACGAGTCTGTGAAGCTACATCGACTGAGATGGCTAGGACATGTGTTGCTCATGCCTAGCCATCGCCTTCCTCGACAACATACAATGTTAGCTGACAGAGCTAGTGGCAGTCAAACCAAAACATGGCTTCATCAGTCAATGAAATTCACAACAGTTAGTTTAATCCACGCAGGAAGGTGTAGGCTGCCTGACTGACTGGTTGGAGTCCTCGGGACGGTAAACACCAATGAAGACTGGAGACAATTGGTGATGATATGGCTCAAAATCGTTCTCAACGGTTGGCGCAGATGCATCCATTCCTTGTGACTTATAATTTCCAATGAAACTATATTGTTTTTCATTATTACTATTCCTTTTGTCTCATATCCCTGTCTACTGTCTCTATTTGGCATTTCTTTTTACTTTCTTCTCTTGCTTTGTGTGCTACATGGAGTGGAGTGTGGCGACTTGAACTGCTGCACATATGTGCAAAATTCTATGTCGAAAACAGACAGACGGACTAATTATTATTTGTGTAAAACTGTGATAGTATGTAATTCCATACTAGTGTTTGTTTATTAGATATATCACACAGAGTGAAACAGTATTATTTACTGGATATTGACGTTTTGAATACAATCTATTATTGTTATTATTCCTAATGATATCAATTATTAACAGCACAAATACGAAACTTTCGTTTTATAGTTTTCTTTATTCTTTCCTATTCGTCGTCATATGGGTAATAGAATTTTTCAGATGTCCGGGTGGACAGGTGTTGAATCTTATCTATTACAGGCACGTATTCGCTTCCATTATCAATCTCTCCCTCCACCCTGCTGTTATATCAGTTAGATTTTAGAATTGTCATCTTATCCCCCATCATCCTATTGTGTGGTTGTGTGTGTAATCGTGATATATCTGTCAATTCGCAATATTTGACACAACCTTCAGACAATGTTACGGGCGAGTAACCGTCCACTTGCCAGACTTTTTACTGCTCAATCAGATCTCCTTCTATGACTCTTCTTGAGTCTATACGCATAGCAATTTTAATACAATACAGATATTTAACAAGCTAATGGTAGTGATAGGCTTCTTTAGCAATAATTGGTCAATATCCAGGCATTAATGAAAACAAAACACGTAGTTCAGCGAAGAGTCTCTTTCTTCGGCGGCGAATTCATTTTCTTAGCTGTACAATCGCAAATATATATGAATGGGTTATTTTGTATGTATGTGTACATTAAATTTATCAAACAAAAACAGAAAATTGGTTATAGTTATTTAAACTAAACAGGTGAAGATTGGTAATTGGCATTACGTAATATACAAAATCAGTCAAGAAAATTAGGTGTTAGTGAACTTAGGGTAGTAACAAAGGTGATGAGTTGTCACAAACAGTTGTTAAAAAAAGAAGTTATGTAATAATGTGAATAGTTTGATGAGTGAGTTTTACTCAGGATACACATAGGAACAAAGCAGATAATACGAAATTACGTAAAAGTTCTAAATGAATACAAGAATTATAAGCAATTAAAGAACAAGCAAAGAAACAAAGGCGAAACCGTATTACCTTTGATAGGTTATTCTTGATTTTCTAGATTACTTTGAAGGAGGCGTTTGTTGAAATGGAATGATCAGTGTTAACCAGGTGTTCAATTATCTCACTCCTTATTGCACCACTATTGCCTTTTCGCAACCATGCGGGATATTGTTCTTGAATCCTCTTGGAGAGGGTGCGCGTCGAACGACCGATGTACCTGGCTCCACAGCAGCAGGTGAACTGATATATGCACATAGAAGTGGTCAGATGCGGGATCTTGTCCTTGAGGCTTCTGCAGATCAGTGGGCGACTGGAGAACACTACTCTTAGCGTTACTGCAAAGAATGTTCTTCTCAGAGATGATGTGATCCTTATCTTGAGAATATCGCTTGCTAAATCTCCCTTGAAATCCAAGTTCATGTAGAGTTTCCTTTTTGATGCAATTAAAGTTTCGTTTTTCCGAATTCTTGGTTTGATATTTTTGTCGATGAATCTTATTGGGTATCCATTTTGGATGAAAATTTCTTCTAGAATATCTAATTCTGTTTCCAGAGCGTCGGGACTGCAAATGCGTTGGATGCGAGTGGCAAGTGATTTAATTAAATTTCGCTTTTGTTGAATGGGTACCCAGCTATAGAAGCTTGTTAGTTCATAACCACCCCATCCCGTAAAAATAAACACCACTGCTACTGAAACTTCAACGTAAAGGAATAAAAAGAATTAAATGAGTGCTCAAATTAATTACGTGTAATAAGCAACTTAGAAAGGCAAAAGGATTGAGCGAAGAAATATTTACTTTTCAATTAGATCAATTAGATCTCACTCTGGCTCTACTTTAATATACACGTATAGCATTTTTATTACAATACACAACAATTTACCAATCACCAAGTGGCACTGATATGTTTGTTAACAATAATTAGTCAGTATCAACATGTCAAACGGTGGGGTGATAATTAACGAATAAACCATTTCTAGCCTTTAATTGTGTGTGTATTAATTTTTTTCGTTAATTATCACCCCACATGTTTGACATGTTGATACTGACTAATTATTGTTAACAAACATATCAGTGCCACTTGACTGGTAAAATATTGTGTACTATATATTTTTTAAATCAAACAAAATTAATATTGATCGGAATGCAATAACTTCCTAAATGTACAGACAGGTTGATGAAGTGGCCATGGGATCCCCACTGGGACCTATTTTAACGAACATATTTCTAGCAAAACTAGAAAATAGTCCGTTGAAATATGATGAAATAGCAGATATGGAAATGGATTGTCGTTACATGGATGGCACTTTTGAAGTGTACACGATGAAGGGTTACGTAGTGGTTTGATTTTGAGCAACTTCAACAATGCTCATCCAGCTGTCCATTTCCTCTATGAAGGAGAATACAACGACTCTCTGCACCTCCTCGATACCCTACTAACGAGAAGAGAGGATGATTCTGTCAAAAGAACCATATTTAGAAAGCTAGAGACCAAAGCTCAGGATGAAATACAAACGTAATCTTAACATTTAGAGCGAGGTCTATTTGTTCTGAAGACTGTTTATAAAGAACTCAAGGTCATACGGGATATTCTAAGTGATAACAGATATCCAGAGGAGTTCGTTAAAGCCAGCATAGGTTACAATAGTCGTAAACATGAACTGGCAACGGTGGAGAAAAAGCCTGTATTTTTACGTTTACAGTTCAAGCGAGATACTCCTGCGGAGATTCTATCGCAACGTTTAACCAAGGTGATAAAGAAAACTTTCTACTCCGCACATCTGTTTCTATCCTTCAGGAGTCGTCCAATGTTCACCCAACAACTGAAAGACGTCTCACCTAACCTTAGCTCTTCTTCATGTATATACCATTTCAACTGT